CTGTTCAGTGATTTGTAGACATACAGGAGTATTTTGAACTGGATTCGAAAGTGAACCGATAACCAGTGCAATGAGGCCAAAACTGGTGTAATGCACTCTCTTTTGACTGTACTGGTTAAAAATGGGGCTGCTGCATTCTGGACCAGTTGTAGTCGTGCAATGGAGGTCTGACTGATACCAAACAGGAGTGAATTGCAGTAATCAAGCCTAGATGTAATGAATGCATGTATTACTGTCTCCAGGTTATTTTTGGACAATATGGGCTTCAGTTTAGACAGCCGCCTCAGTTGGAAGAAGCATGATTTAACAATCATGTTTACATGATTGTTAAGCTTCAGGGAAGGGTCCATTATCACGCCCAGATTAGTGACTCTTTGTTTTTCTGACAGGGTTAGAGTGGAGAGGTCGATGCAGTGGTTTGTGATCGTGTCGTTGGGAGGGAACAACATGACTTCAGACTTCTTTTCATTGAAACTTAAGAAACTTAAAGCCATCCAGTCCCTGATGTCAGCCAGGCAGTTGAGCAGCGGTTGAATAGAGCATGTACCATTGTGTCTTGGGGGAAGTAAATTTGACAGTCATCGGCATAGAAGTGGAAGGGCATGTTGTGTTTCCGGAAAATAGCACCAAGCGGCAGCAGGTATAAAGAGAATAGGAGGGGACCCAGTATGGACCCCTGCGGAACCCCCCATTTAAGCTCTGCCTCTGCGGAACTAAACTCCTTGATGGAGACACAAAAGGATCTGTCAGTGAGGTAAATCCTGATTGAAAAATCTCAAAAATTCCATTTACATTCAAAAACTTGGTTAGTTGACTAAAAACTATTTTCTCCAAGATTTTAGAAAGAAATGGAAGTTTTGAGATTGGCCTGAAGTTTGAACAAGCTGCAGGGTCAAGTCCAGGTTTTTTAATTAATGGAGTTACCACTGCATGTTTTAAAACATCAAGAACCACACCTGTAGCCAAACTGCTGTAAATAATGGCAAGAACAGAGGGTCCAGTTGACGGTAGAACCTGTTTAAAAAAATGCAGCAGGGATGGGATCAGCAGGGGAGCCTTAGGGTTTCATGTGGCCAACGACCTCATTTAAAAATGAGAGTGAGATGGGGTCAAAGTGACTGAAGACTGCTGAGCAGGGGACAAGAACTGAAGGGTTGGCTGTGGAGTGTGGAATTGATGACCTAATCGACTCAACCTTTTCAACAAAATGCCTGACAAACTTATTACAGGTGTCGACAGAGGCCTCAATGGTGGCAGACCAAGGCACGTTTAGAATGGTGTTAATGATGATGAAAAGAACGCGGGGGTTGTGACTGTTTGAGTTGATAATTTTTGAGAAATATTTGTTTTTCTCCTGTTTATCGGTGGTCTGATACGCTTTCCAACATGATTTTAACATAACAAAGGAAACCTGGAGTTTATCTTTTTTCCATCGACGTTCAGCTCTTCTGCACAAGTGTCTTGCCTCTCGTGTGGTCTCCTTTACCCAAGGGTGGGACGTGCGTTTTCAATTCCTGAGCTTTAACGGGGCGACTGAGTCCAGGATCTGTACACAGGCCTCCTGATGCTGAGAAAGCAATCAATCAATCAATCAACCTTTATTTAGACAGATAAATCCCAAAAGCAACTCTTATGTAGTAAGACCCGCAGAGAGTTCAGAGTCTGAAACAGAATTACTAGCAAAGATGGAAGAAAAGAGTGTGGCGGTGGAAGGTGGAATCAGCAGCTTATCATATCACGTCCTTACCTTCGCAGCTAACAAGACGGCTAACGCTTTAGCCATCTTGTTCCACAGATGAGACTGGGACCGTGTCTTTAGTGATATGATAAGCTGCTGATTTATTGTCGCAGCGCCACCTCTCACTTTTCCTCTCATAAGGCATAGCACAGCTAAATGAGTTTTATTCCACGATTTGTTTCAGGGAAGGAGACTGAAAACACAGTTGGAGCTGCAGCTTACAACTTAACTTATATTGCTGTTTTAAATAGTGAAAACGATTCGTAGGTCCGACCTTTTGGACTTGTTTTTGGCATTGTCTACAGAAAATATTTTTCTGCTGCTCATCTGACAATTTAAATCCAAACCATCTCCGAAATAACAGCCATTATTTTTCTTTTTGTTCAGCAAGTAAGCTGCTCTTCAGATCGCCCATATTTACTTGTGCTAAACATCTGGCCACCTGGAGAAGCAGGAAGCGGGGGAGCATGTGAAGCTGAGGGGCTGGGATTGTATTCAATGAGGGAGAAGGAGGGGCCACGTGGGAGAAAGAGAAGACAGCAGGCGGATTTTCAAATATAGTACAACACCATATCGTTTGTATTGATATAGTCTCATATCACAAATGAAATTATCTCTGTTTTTAAAATATCGAGATATCGCCCAGCCCTAGTTTTATATCACTCCTTTAATTTATTTTGCATTTTATATGCATTTCAAGGCTGTTTACTGTTGTGTTTACCGTATCTGTAGTTTTGCTTAAAACAGGTCTCTCTTGTAAATGAATTCTCATGACTCTATGAGACAAACCTGTATAAATAAAGGTTGAATGACACCCCCCCCCCCCCACCCTTATTTTCAAGCCAGATAAACTTGTAAAGAAACTAAAGCAAAAGCTAGGTTTTTTCTTTTCAAACAAGTTGTGTTCTCAATCAATTGGTTATCTCAATGGGATCTCCCTGGTTAAATAAAAAGGTAAAAAGCCTAACATGCATATCCTTGGATTGTGGGAAGAAACCAGAGTGTCCAGAGAAAATTCACAAACATGAGGAGAACATGCAAAATCCACACAGGAAGACTCCAGGTCAGAATCAAGGACATTCTTGCTGTGAGGCAATGATGTTAACCACTGATCGATTGTACTGCTCAACTATGAGCCATGTAGACAATCCTCCCATAAAGCTTCCCCCTGGTGGAACTCCTACATGGTTCCCACTACCCCTCCTTTATGGTTCCTACCTCCCGTATAGTCTTAGAGTTGGGTAGATCCTTCTTGTTGGCCAGAACCATCAGAGGAACTCCTTGCAGTCTCTCATAACTAAGTACCTTCTTCAGCGCCTTCTGGGCCTCTGGCATACGAGCCGGGTCGCTGCTGTCCACCACAAACACCAACGCCTTGCAGTCATCCAGGTAATACCTACACACACATTTAACCAACGTTACTCCGTTTGTTTGTTTATCTTTGTTTGTTGTGGACTTCATGCATTTACTCACTTCCAGTTGGCTCTCATGCACTGCTGGCCACCAACATCCCACACAGTCAGAGATGTCTTCTTGTCCAGGTCCAGAGTTCCTACGTTAAAGCCCACAGTTGGTGATGTTTCCATCACCTGAAAAGTTCAGACAGTCTCACTTGAGACACCTGGAAAACCCAAAATGCCTGAGACATTACGAGTCTGTTTTTTTTTATCACAGATTTCCATGTTGGTTTTGACTCTAAGAAACATCTTCATGACAGAAACCTCAGCAGAACTGGATCCTTGTGATCCTTAAAACATGAGATGATCTAAGGTTTGTGTATCTTTTTAGATCAGAAATGTATTTTAATAAATACCTCCACACTAGAAAATATTTCTGCAAGTTACTGATAAAAAAAATGTGAACTTCTGAAATCAGAGATCATCAGATTAATTAAACTTTTTATTTCAAGGTAGACCTTATAAAATGTTTGATTTAATTATCAGGTTATCAAAACTCAACAATCCAAGCAAACCGTCGCAGAGATTTACTCTGAGTTTTCTTCAACAATTTTCCCATTGCCTCTCTCCCATTAAGCTCAGACTGGTGAAGAACCCTGGCAACAGTTGCTGTATGCTCAGCCAAGTTCAAGTTCAAGGATCTTTATTATCCCTGAGGGACAATTGGTTTCAAAGCCAGTCATACAAAACATTCATACTGGACAAGACATTAAAATAACAGTACAGAAAACATCTCTGTTCGTTGAGAAGCCTGATCGCTGCAGGAATGAATGAGTTTTTCAGTCTGTTCGTCCTACATCTGGGCAAAAGATACCTGCATCCAGATGGAAGACACCTGAACTCACCATGGAGTGGTGATCAGGATCTGCTAGAATCAGCCTGGCCTTGTTCACTGACCTCACCTTGTGTAGGTCATGGTGAGGCTCTGTAGGTCGTGGTGAGGTTCTTTAGATCAGTGAGACTCTGTAGGTCGTGGTGAGGTTCAGTAGGTCAGTGAGACTCTGTAGGTTGTGGTGAGGTTCAGTAGGTCAGTGAGACTCTGTAGGTCGAGGTGAGGTTCTGTAGGTCGTGGTGAGGTTCTATAGGTCGTGGTGATGTTCTGTTGGTCGTGGTAAGGTTCTGTAAGTTGTGGTGAGGTTATGTAGGTCGTGGTGAGGTTCTGTAGGTCGTGGTGATGTTCTGCAGGTCGTGGTGAGGTTCTGCAAGTCAGTGAGACTGTAGGTCGTGGTGAGGTTCTATAGGTCGTGGTGAGGTTCTATAGGTCGTGGTGAGGTTCTATAGGTCGTGGTGATGTTCTGTTGGTCGTGGTAAGGTTCTGTAGGTCGTGGTGAGGTTCTGTAGGTCGTGGTGAGGTTCTGTAGGTCGTGGTGAGGTTCTATTAGCTGTGGTGAATTTATGTTGGTCTGTGAGGTTCTTTTGGTTCGTGAGGTTCTGTAGGTTGGTGAGGTTCTCTGGTGAGGTTCTGTAGGTTGGTGAGGTTCTCTGGTGAGGTTCTGTAGGTCGTGGTGAGGTTCTGTAGGTCATGGTGAGGTTCTATTGGCTGTGGTGAGGTTCTGTTGGTCCATGAGATTCTGTAGGTTGGTCAGATTCTGTAGTTCGTGTTAAGGTTCTGTAGGTTGGAGGGGTTATGTAGGTCAGAGAGGTTCTGTAAGTCAGTGAGATTCTGTTGGTCAGTGAGGTTCTGTGGGTTGGTGAGGTTCTGTGGTGAGGTTCTGTAGGTCATGGTGAGGTTTTATTGGCTGTGGTTAAGTTCTGTTGGTCCGTGAGGTTCTGTAGGTTGGTCAGGTTCTGTAGTTCATGGTAAGGTTATGTAGATCGGAGGGGTTATGTAGGTCGGAGAGGTTCAGTAAGTCGGTGAGGTTCTGTAGGTCAGTTTCTGTATGTTGGTGAGGTTCTGTAGGTCGTGGTGAGGTTCTGTATGTCTGTGAGGTTCTGTAGGTTG